TTGTACTGTAAAGGTTTTTTTGGGCATTTTACACTTGGAACATTCTGAGCTCTCCATAATATGCTTTAAAGCTTATAATCTAACAACTAACCTTTTACTCCTCTAATTACTTAAGGAGAAATCTGAGTGTTTTAGGTAAGGGGATAAAATCCAAAATTTACCAGGTTTTTTTTTTTCTGGAAAATTATTCAAGTCTTAGCACATTACAATTTTCTTGAAGTACTTAGCTGTAGTTAAAGTTCAGATTTCTCAGTCAACATGTTATAAAATTTATTTTAACTCAAGAATGGCTGAAAAGGTTTAATAAATTACTTCAGTAGTAACCCTGCCTGTAGTTATCCAAAAAAGCATATAATTTATTAAGTAAAGACCTGTATTTTTGAATATATCATATCATATTGCATTGATTTAGAGGTTGTGAGACATTCAGGAGAAAATTTAGAATATTTTTCCCATAAATGACTGCATGATGTCAAAGCAAAGTAGGTTTGAGATAACTCAAATGTTTTGGGTAGAGGGTGTGGGCGGTGGAGTGGTGGTGATGGTTTAAGGACTAAGAAAGAGATTGGGAGAGAGAGAGGACTACTAATGTGGGCGGGGGTTTACCAATGTGGCTATGACTGAAAAGGATCATGGGAGGTTGGGGAGGTAAAATGTTGGGATGGGTGGGGATTACCTGGGTTTGGGTTAGAGAAAGGCAGAGGGTACAGGCTAGGGTGAGGGTTTTAAGTTGGGTAAAGAGGAATAGGGTGGTTGTTACAGTGTTTGGAGACGGTGGGTAAGTGTTTGGCTGGAGTTTTGGTGGGCAGGCAGGCAGGCAGGCATTGATTTGAGGCTGAGTGAAGGTTCCTATTTACAAATAAGGTAGAATGAGTTGTCTCAAATTCACTTCTGAGTTTTTCATTAATCTTGAGAATTTTTTAGTAACTACTTGAAAATCTTTTAATACTGTTTCCAATTCTTTGAAGGAAATTAGCACCTAAGTTCTTAAGTACATATTTTTTTCCAGTTCTCTTTTAGTTAAAATTTCATTCTTGCTGAATTAAAATGATGTGGCATGTTTTCCCTTCAATTCAAATATTTACAAACAATTCCTGTATTTTAATAAAGTGAAGAATATCACAGTTTGATCAAAAGATGTCTTTTTTGTTTTTTCCTCCTAATCCCAAACTCCCTCTTCTTATTTTAATCCATGGAAACCTTAGCATGGTCATTAATGGGACTTAAATGCACTGAAAGAGCCAGAGGAAGTTCTGGACAGTAAATTCAAAATAACAATTTTGGACAGTTGCATAAAAGTATGAAGTGTTATTATCTGGATAACGGTGGCTCTGGAATAGACTGTTATGGGAGATGGCAACCAACCCTTAAAGATTTGAGTAGAAGGAAGCTAAGAGCCAGCTGTTGACTCTTGTTTCAAATGTCAGTCACTGCAAGGGCAACTGGTTGATTATAATAAACCACTGACTGCTATTTCCTGGTTGAAACCATTCAATTTAAATTAAGGTCAATCGAACAAGAGTAAAAAGATGGAAAAATTAAGTTTTTAAAGCCATGCAGTAAGGTTAAATTGGTGGTCGCCATAAATAGATGTCGCACCCTTGAATTTCTTGATTGGGTTACTATTGCTTCAGACAAAGTTAACTTGCACTCTGGAAGTCCAAGAGGGTAAAATTAAATCGCACATCTAAAGTAACGTCTAATTAATCGTTTTCATCGCATGGGGCTTTCTTTTGAATGCAAAAGATCGAGGCATTAGAACGCGTCCACAAAAGAAGTAACGCATCGATCTTTAGCACCTTTTACTGTGATGTTAAGAGCCATATACCTTTAGAAATCAACACTTGAAGTGTGGTTAAACAATATGTTA